TGCATTTATCGTCGTGATACCTTAGGAACGATTTAGGGATATTTTTGGGTTATTGAGGAAGTGAATCGTGGGGACTTTTGGGTTGGTCTTGGTTCTGATACGTAACAGCATGTTGTTGTAATCACGTGTTCACACAACAAAGAATCCTTCGCACAACGAATAAACTCGCCCTAGACTCGCACAACGAACTTGCTAGTGAACATAGCAGAGTTTTCGTGAATTCTGATTTTGTGCAATGATGCCTTGATGTTTTGATATTGTGATTTCTTTGACGAATTAGTATGAGTATGACGGTGATTTCTATGTGATTAGTACATGATTATATGATGATTCCTATGATGTAATGATGATGAGATATGATGATGATTTTGACGATGATGATTTTGGATGAATGATGATGCACCTATGATGTTATTATGAGGATGATTATTGACGTGTGTATCATGCATTCATGTGCATCCGGACTTCGGTTCAGGACCTTGATTTCTTTGGCTTCAGTCTCATTGTGCGGATGTGAGGTATTTTGATGTGCTTCGGTTCTTGTATAGAATCGATCCTATTGATGGGGATCTATGGAGGGTTGATGGCCTAGTGTCCATCGAGCTGTGATGATTGGTACCACATGCATGAGTCATGTTGCATTTGTATTTTTGAGATAATCTTGAGTAATTTATGATGTTGTGACCTTTGATGCCCATTGGTGAATATGATGATGCATACTATGAAAATGACATTGTTTTATATATTGATTTCCTATATTGATTATTATGAGTCGTTTTACTCATCCTGCCTGTTTGAATGTTACCTCCACGTGGGTAACATGCAGATGACCAGGTTTAGCTGTGGACGCCGTCAATGATCTTTTTGGAGTTTTGAGTTGTTGGCCATTTTGGTTAACTTAGAGGGTCTTGCTCTGATAGTGTAACATCGGGTTGGGATCTTTGAGTTAAACCATGTTTTGTTTGATTTTTTTTATTATCTTGATTATGTTTCCGTACAAGGAAGCCTTTTGAGTTCTGCTGCCTTTTGAGCAATTTTTGATAACTTTTGGGAAAACCCATTGTTTACGGAGCCTTGACCTGTATTTGATTTATTGGAAAATGTATGCCCTTTGAGGTGATTTTTTTAGTTTAATATTTTACTCTGATAAATGTGAATATTATGCCATTAAAACTGTGGGGTAGAAAAGGGTGTTACATTAGTGGTATCAGAGCCTGGTTGGTCCGTCCGACCAAGTTTTTATGTTTTTAATCCCCTGTAAATCAATAGTGCGAGAACATTGTTGGATAAGTTGTTTCTTCTAACCCTGTGGGTGGTTGCAGATGGCTGGAAGAAATGATCGTGATATTGCTGATGCGCTGAAATCACTTGCCCAAGTGATGACCCAGAATGGTGGACCTCCAGATGAGTTTCGTGCTTTGGGATAGTTCTAAAGGAACAATCTGCCGACTTTTGTGGGCACTCATGATCCTGATGATGCGCAGAAGTGGCTTAAAGTGATTGAGAATATTTTCCGAGTTATGGCGTGCACTGATGCTCAGCAGGGCAGTTTGGTACGCATATGCTAGCAGAGGAAGCTGAGGATTGGTGGGATAACACCCGTCAGAGATTGGGAGGTGTTGGCATTACGATAACTTGGGCGGTGTATAAGGAAGAATTTTTAAGGAAGTATTTTCCTGATGATGTTCGGGGCAAGAAAGAGGTGGAATTCCTTGAGCTGAAACAAGGGAATATGATTGTGGATGAGTATGCGGCAAAGTTTGAGTCTTTAGTAAAGTATTGTTTGCATTACAATCGTGCTGACATAGAGATGTCAAAGTGTCTCAAGTTTGAGAAAGGATTGAGACCAGAGATTAAGAAAGGAATTGGGTACCAGCAGATTCGTCGGTTTGCGGAACTAGTGGACAAGAGTAGAATTTATGATGAGGATAACCTTACTCGATCTACTTACTACAAGCAGCTAAGTGAGAAGAAAGAGAATGTTCAGTATAGAGAGAAACCGTATGTGACTTCTAGTGATAAAGTGAAGCAGAAGGCTTCAGATGGGAAAAAGTCAAGTGGGGGAGCAGTTACTGCTCCAGGCAAGTGTTATAAGTGTGGCGAGTAAGGTCACCATGCTGAGGTTTGTAGGGCGCTGAGATTTCATCATTGTGGCAAGAAAGGTCATAGAGCTACTGACTGTAAAGATGAAGCTCCGACTTGCTTCAACTGTGGAGAGAAGGGTCATATCAGTACCCAGTGTCAGAAACCGAAGAAGACTGCTACTGCTGCTCAGACGAATGGCAGAGTGTTTACTTTGAGCGGTGCGGAAGAATCCAAGACAGATAACTTGATCAGAGGTACTTGCTTTATTAATGATGTTGAATCAATTGCTATTATTGATACTGGTGCTAATCATTCATTTATTTCACTTGAATGTGCTAAGAAGTTGAATTTGAAATTATCTTCTATGGTTGGAAGTATGGTTATCGATACCTCGGCTAATGGTTTTGTGACTACTGCATTAGTCTGTTTGAGCCGCCCTTTGACCATTTATGATAAGAATTTTGGATGGACTTGGTCTGTCTACCTTTGCATCAAATTAATGTTATTCTCGGAATGAATTGGTTGGAGTACAACTATGTTCATATCGATTGCTACAACAAGACTGTGAGGTTCCCAGAGTTTGGTGATTTTGGAGAGCTAATGTTTTTATCTGCTAAGCAAGTAGAAGAACTCTTAGAAGATGAGGCTCAGATGTTTGCATTATTTGCATCACTTCAAGTTGATTGTGAAGCAATGAGCGTGGAGCTACCAGTTGTTCGAGAATTTCCAGAAGTGTTTCCAGACGACGTGAGTGACTTACCTCCTGAGCGTGAGGTAGAGTTTACTGTTGATGTGATATCGGGCACTAGTCCTGTGTCGATGGCTCCTTATCGGATGTCTGCATCTGAGTTAGGAGAATTGAAGAAACAGTTGGAAGAGCTGCTTGAGAAGAAGTTTATTAGACTGAGTGTTTCTCCATGGGGTGCTCCTGTGTTGTTGGTGAAGAAGAAAGATGGTTGCATGAGATTGTGTGTGGATTATCGGCAGTTGAATAAAGTAACAATCAAGAATAAGTATCCAATTTCGAGGATTGATGATTTGATGGATCAATTGGTGGGTGCTTGTGTGTTTACCAAGATTGATTTGAGGTCTGGTTATCATCAGATTCGCGTCAAGCCTGATGATATTCCGAAGACAGCTTTCAGGACGAGGTATGAGCACTATGATTATATTGTGATGCCGTTTGGTGTATCTAATGCGTAGGGGGGAGGGAGGTGTTTGGTTATGTAGTGAAGGAACTTGACGTATTTCTAGGACTAATGGTTGAGGAACCATCATTGATGCTTGGGAATCTTGTTGTCGTTGTTGTTCACTTACTGAAGGAAGAACTAGTGAAACATTGTCTTGAAGAGTTTGAATAATGGATCAAAGATCTTTGGTAATGCTTCGAGTGTGAGCTGCTTCAGAAGGCCATCAGAGGATTAGAAGAAAAACGGCTAGGAAAACATTTACAGTTTCTCAAAGTCATAATATAAAACAGTTGTCGTGATGCAATTGAAAAAATTTGAGAGAATCAAAAGAAGATTCCTACAAACGGTGACACCATTCCAGAGTAAAATAAAGAATTGGTAAAAGGCTGATAGTGATCAACGTGAAAACGCTTGTAGTGCAGGAGTGACAATTTTTCACTCATTAGAGATGGTACCTCCAAAAAGATTAGCACACTGACGCTCAAGTAAGGACGAGAATGAAGTAGAACTTTTGAAAATATGAATGAAAGTCCATATGAGTGTGACGTAGAATAATATTTATATAAAGAGGATAATTACAACTAACTAATTTTTTTAGCATGTAGCTCGGATAGCCGTTGGATGTAAATTTACGGTTGTAGTGCAAGGATGGTTGTTAGTTTACGTCTGTGTTGTTTTTCTTCTTTCGTTTTCATAATGTCATTATTTACAAATTCATTTCTAATAGGATTCTCTAACTTTCTAACTTTCAAGAAACACAAAATACCTAATGCATGTGTGTGTTACTTTTTAGTTGGACCGCTTACTAGCATAGATGTGTATCGATGCGTAAATCTCTTTTAAGATGGACCACCTAATTAACAGAAACTTTACAAGGAAGTTACTGAAGTCTAAAATGTTTGTAGCAAGGGTTGGATAAAAAAGCTCTCACAAAGCTTATTATATATATATATATATATATATATATATATATATATATATATATATATATATATATATATATATATATATATATATATATATATATATATATATATATATATATATATATATATATATATATATATATATATATATATATACGGGCGGAGCCAGCGCCCGGCCAGGTAGGGTAGCTGCCCGGGCTCAACCGCCGACAATATTTTCCGATTTAACCAAGAACAGGTGCACATCTAGTTACCTTTCCGGTTTCATTTTCATTTCAATATTCATTTTGTTCCCTCTATCTCATTTCATTTAAGATTCACTTCCTCATAAGTTTCTCTATTTTTTTTCATTTCAATGAGGTTAGGGAATCTTTTGGATATAAGGGAGAATGGGGATTCTGATTAGGGATTTATGAGTCCTGTTTGTTTTTACAGTTCATTTTCATTCGTCCAATTTATCAATTTATGATGGGTATCCGTATGTTGCAGGTTGTGGTTTACGAATCAGTATCGAATTGTTGTCGTTTCCACCGTTTTGCAACTTGCACACTAAGTGTTCGATAAATTGCCTCAACCAAGTTTCACACAAAGTTGTCATTTTTTAAATTCGTTCACTTGTTTGATTTTTACTAATGTTTTTCTTTTCCTTTGTGATGTTAATTTAACATTATTTCAGTGTCGGTGGAGAAAGCATTGCCTATAGTTTGTCAACCTCAAGCTGTTTTCCGGATTCGTCCTGTGGGTCGATGTTCCGCAACAATTTCTGGTATGAAGATGTGATGAAAACCAACTGGTAGTTATGGATGAAAACCAAAGTGCTACCTCAGTTCAAAATGGAGGCTATCTTAAATCAAATATATTTACTTTAACTATACCAGAGGTGAATATTTGGATTTTGGATAGTGTCTTTTTGTTTAATCTAGTGGGTAGTTTTTAATATGATGTTGTTTATTTTTTTCAATGTGGTTTTGAACAGATTGATGGGGGTTCAAATTTATCAATTAAAATGCATTGGTCTCAGAAAGTAGAATGCTCCAATGGTGAGTACTCTTTGAATGTGCCATTCACTTTTCCTGATTTTGTCAATCCTATTGGGAAGAGAATGTCGAAAAGAGAAAAGATACAACTGAATATGGATGTTGTTGCTTGAAGTGAGCTTTTGCTCAAGACTACTAGCCATCCCCTACATGTTCATATTTGGTTGATTTTTTTTCCACATATGAGGCCGTTGTTGTTATTTGACAATATTTTTTACTTTAGAGTTCAGCAAAATAATATCGGCTGTTCACATTCTGCTGCAGTATAGCACTATAGCGCCACTACTGCCGATATTGAACAACACTCACCACTGTTAAATACGGTAGATTAAATAAATATATGCAGTTTTTCATAAACATAAATATTATAAGAATATTGAGCAGTAGCAATTAATACTGACCCAACATAATATGTACTGAATGTTCAAATCAATCTATGCTCAACTTTCGGTGTATACTTTGGATTTTGCTTCATTTTTGTATGTTCTCGGACTAAATTTTAATGTGTTACTGATTACCACACTACACTAGTTGATTTATCCCCTTATTATTTTATCCCTTGCAATAGTAGTGTTCTTCATAAAGATTAAACCTAGTTTCTGCTGTGAGTCATGATCCTGGCAATTATGGTCCTTGTTTATCGATTGTGTGTATTTAGTAATTTGGTGAATGGGGATAATTTCTCTGGAAATTGGGTAACTGTTGGAGCGTTGACTGAGAAGGGGATTCATAAAACAAGTTCAAATGGGAAGAGCTTTTGTATATGGAAAATTGGGTGTTTGGATGAAAATGTTGTTCCTATTTTCTTGCTTGGAAATGCTTATCAGAGGAATTGCCAAGAGCAGGCAGGAACTGTCTTTGCATTCTTCGACTATGGTGTTCGCAAGAATGCCAAGGTAACTAATTGTTGGGAGTTGATTAGATTTTTTCTATCAAAATTTTCCATAAGTTCTGCAATCTCTTTTATATTGCTTTTGCAGGGTAATGGTTTTTCTTTGAGTATATACTCCCCTAACCAAATTGTGAAAATGGGCACCTCTGTAGATTACTGGAACGTGTATATATTATAGAATCTGAAATCTTAAAAATTGAAAGAGGCAATTGCAATTTAAGGAAATAATTTATTTGGGATTAGAATTGTACTATATTGGTAGAAAGTTATAAAGCCATTGGAAACTTGCCCAGACTTCATTATTTTTCTAACTCCGTCAATATATATATATATATATATATATATATATATATATATATATATATATATATATATATATATATATATATATATATATATATATATATATATATATATATATGTGTGTGTGTGTGTGTGTGTGTGTGTGTGAGTGTGTGTCGATTACATAATTAAGTAATATTGATACTTTTTTTAGAAGAAAAAAATTTAAACAACCTTTCTTGTAATTATAAAAGTGACACTTACCATATAGCTAGCTACAACATAGAATCAGTGTCATAAATCATCTAAACTCAAACTAAATAAATAAATTTTGAAATGAAAGAAGGACCATGCAATAAAAAAAGGTTAAAAAAGTAAAAGATTCATGAGTCATGCACGCTACCTAAATATTCCTATACCTTTAACTTCCAAATATCACATACATGATTCTTTCTTGTCAACTTTCATTCATGTTCACATTTGGAAACTCTCGAGATATGGGTGAAAAGGGTGAATATGAATAAATTTATTTTGTGGAAAGAAAAGTAGCATGTAAGCAACTCTTTTCTGTTGCATAAACTTTTTAGTAACTACTTTATAACGTTTTTTAAAAAATAAAATGAATATATATTAACTAATATGCTTTGGAGATAGGTATAGCCGTTTAGCGATTATTGTTAAAAAGTTCTCTAAAAAAAATATATGGCTTTTAACATGTGTGATCCATAGTTTATATCTTATCGATGGAACCACAAGTTTATATCTATGTATTAGGCACAAAATCTATGATAGATGTAAGGGAGTGTATTAGGAAGATCTAAAATTTTATGTTAGTTGAAGAAAGATTATTAAAAAGTTTATATAGAGTGACAACTCTCATCTAATAAATCGATATAAATAAAGTCAAATTCTAATATAATATCAAAATTTATCGATCGGATATTAAACCGTCTACCGTTTAAATCAACGCATCAAATCTAAAAATAAGTGTTAGAGCGTGATTAGAAAAATCTAAAAATTTGACGTTATTTCGAGATGAAACTTTAAAAAAATTTATATACAGTGACCCGATGACTTTAAGTAAAAAATATTTTATATTTTCTTTTCACCATCATCCCACCATGTGTACGTGTGGTTCTCATTATACTCTCTTTAACCTAGCTACTTATATGCATGCATCTTATGCTCTCTTTATTCCCTTGAGTAAGTGCTATAATTAGTCAGTTTTCATTATAGACGTATTTTTGTACTAATAATTTCTAAATGTGTCGTTAATTTTCGACCTTTCTTTCTATTAACATATGTGTTGATTAGACAATTTTGAAGAAGAAAATAAGTACTTAAATATGCCAAGTGCCATAAATATGGATAACGTTACGATTGTGATTAACATGCATGAAAATGAAATTAAGGATATTTCTTTTAAAAAAAAGCAATGGATTAAAGATAAACAAGTAAAAAGGCTACTCAAACCCTCACAGAAAAATTACAAGTTCTTTAAACAAATTGTTAGATATTTAAACGAGTAAGAAGGAGTCCTAAAAGAAAACTGCATATAAGCCTTTCCTAACCAAAACCAAGTAGAGGATTTGATAGAGCAGACTATATCATCAACAGAAGGAGAAGAAAGATTGAATGTAGAGTCACTACTAGAAAATTTTATTTTAACTGCAAATTTAGCCTCGGCCACCGACACCGAGGCTAACTAGCCTCGACAAAACCGAGGCTATTCAAGCGCAAAAAAAAAACATTTTAAAGTTTTTCTTTTACAATTATTTTTATTTAATTCATTAGACATGGCTAGGCTGAGACTAGATATTTTTTAATTTTTGAATTATTTTTTTAAAATATTAGACACGGATGAGCCGAGGCTAACTATTTTTATTTTTTTCGAATATATTTATTTTATATGATAGACACAGATGAGTCGAGGCTAACTATTTCTCACTCTTGTTTTTCATGTTTCCCTCTTAATTCCTTTCAGAATGAAGAACCCTAAAATTAAACCAAATAGATTTTCAGAAGGAAAAAACCCCTAAAATCAAACAAAATCGATTTTGTATGGTCCTTAAGAGATCATCTATTCGTTTTCATCTTCAAGATCATCGATTCTTTTGATCTTCTCTTCAAAATCATCTCTTCGTTCAAGATTATCTCTTCGTTCACACTTTCCTGCTCAAATTCAACCTCAAACTATCTCTGATTCTTCTTTTGCTTCTTTTCAATGTAGTGAGTTTCAGTCTTGACCTTTACCTGTTGAAGGAAGTTTAGAAGATAGAGCTGCAAGTGCTTCCAAGAGTCATAGTCAAGCAGAGAAAAGACGCAGAGATAGAATCAATACTCAGCTTGCTAATCTCAGAAAACTTATTCCTAGGTCTGATAAGGTAGAACAATTTGTTTGTGTTATTTGCCATTTTAAGGTTAAGATTTTGTTATGTTTTTCATTCAACTCATGAATTTCTAATTCCAACCCTAACTGAGATTTAACACAATCCTCGCTCTCAACTGAATTGAACTTGGATTAATTAACAGAGCCTAAACTCCGGCGCGACGGTGTTGGTTAGAGATTACAGCGAGGCAATCGGAGAGAAGAAAGTATATTGAACGTATTTATGAACATGTAAGTTTATGGAGTTATCATTTCGGTTATGGTATATTGAGTCTTAATGTTCTCATATTTTATTGATTTGCATTACTGTGATATTAGTTTTGTGATTCAATGTTCATTTCACTTATGAAATTTTGAGAATATTTGCATTACTATTGGAATGGCATGAAAGATTTTATTCTGTTTATTGTACAGGTACAATTCGAGCCAAATGGTCAAAGGCATCGTTAGTCTGAAGTTAGGTTACTTTGTTGTGTGTGTCAAGATCGTGTCGCTTTGTTGTGTGTATAGAGGTTTTGTTTTGTTCTGTGATATTAAGGTCAAGTTGTTTTTGTTGTGTGTATTTTTATAATATTCTCATGAATTAGAGGCATGGTTTTGGAGTAATGTAGGTGGGTGATTTTGTCTCTGGTGTATATGTGCTTTTGGTTTAATTGTGCTTTTTGAGGGTTGCTGCAGAGCTTTTCATAGCAGGTGTTTTATTGGTTCTTGTATTGATTGGCATAACTTATGCCTTATCTATTTTAATATATCACAATTTTGCTAGTTCAAAATGTAAACGAGAAAGAGAGAGGGAATTGTTGATTATTTGTAGATTTTTTTATCCAATGCCATGTGTCATCCTCTGATAAGTTACTGCTGAATTTAAAACAAAGAAATTTTAATTAAAACCTCTTTTATTTGGCATGTTTTTTTTAAATTAATTTCTTTTATAATTATATTTATTTGGTTGTTAAATGGAAGACTGCCATTAGGGCAGTATGTGCATGTTATTTCTTTTTTGTAAAAATGTTGATATATGCCTTTGAAACATAGGGTTATCAGTTGAGGATTAACATTGTTATGTTGAACTCATGTTTGTTGTTGTCAAAACTATTTCTCTTACTAACCTGTTAGTGAAAGGACAACTACCCCATCATGACAGTTGCTTTTAGATTGTCTCTAGGGTAATGTAGGTAGTTTGTTGCTTTTGTAGAGGTGATAATATATAATGTTGAAACAGATGGCGAGAGTTGAGGATTGACATTGTTATGTCAAGCTTATGTTTGTTGCTGTCAAATTTATTTTCATAACATTAAATTGTTTGGATTTAGCATTTGTCATGTTAAAATGCATAATAAACTAGTTGTAGGAGGATTTGAACTTGGTAATATTTTGAACTCTTGATCTTCATGTTAGAACTGTGTTGGTTTGACAAATTGGTAATTGATTTTGAAAACAATGTTTGAATTAATGTGAGTGTTGACATTGGTAAACACCAAGTTTGTTACTGCTTCTGTTCAGATTTTACTCATGAGTTTGTTAACTTTCAAAACATTTTTGCTTGACTGATGCTTTCATCTTGTTTTTACAACTTACTGTTAAAGCTATGATAGTTGTAATTCATCAATGAATGTTGATTGAAACACCAAGAATTATGTCAACATTTGCTTTAAGGTTTGTCAACTTCTAGTACCATTGAGCTCTATCTTTAAAACCATATGTGTTTAGTAATTGGCATTGTAATGACCAACTCTCATCGTCATGGATTTTTGTGTATTGAATATTGTCATCAAGTGTTCCATACTTGGAGGGCACATTGTGCATCATGGTTTGCTAATCCATAATGACAGGTTTTAGGCAGTCTAGGTAGGGACTTAGTAGATTTCTTTGTATGTTATTTGCTGGTGTGGTCTGTTGAAAGGGTGTTGTCATGTGTGTTTAGTTGAATTCATGACAAGACTAAGTTTCAAACATTGATGACATAGTGAAGAATGCTTGGCTCATTACTTTGCTTATTGTCCAAGTTTGTTGGGAGGTTGGTCAACCTAGATTCCCATCAGAACTTTGTTTGCTTTCATATTTGGCGGTTGAAACCTTGATGCATGGTGTTTAGGACACAATGTAGGATCAACACTAAACATATTGGTTCCTCTAAATTTAGACAAGATATGTTTTAATGTTTTGTGACTCACATGTTAATTTTTTGCTATATAGAAAATGAACCGTACTTGGATGTATAATAGAGCATATTCCGATAGACACAGATTGAAAGATGTGTTTGTTCGTGGGGTTAAAAAGTTTGTGAAGAAGGCTTTGAATCAACCCATTTGTAAATCTGAGGGAGGGATAATGTGTCCGTGCATAAATTGCAAGTGTTGCAAGATAAGTACATCAACTAATGTAAGACTTCACTTATATCGAGATGGATTTCAACCAGACTATTGGATTTGGACTCAACATGGAGAAGTGGAGCTCAATATTGATACAAGGGGTGGCTCAAATAGTAGTGAACATGTGCGTCAAGC